ATTACATCGTAAGAAGCACTTGATCGATATTGCGGAGGATTGATAAGATTATATATACACAGAGGTGTGATTTGTTAGCAAATAAACAACTTTGGAAGCGGAATGTTTGATATGACATTCAACACTTGGGCTATTAAAACCAGTATGGGTTTTTGACAGACCAGTAATGCGTATTATGCAAATTTACTCGTCTGTGAGTAGTAGCAGTTATCTCATCGGTAAATAGTAAATGGTATTTACAGGCAAGGAAAGAATCTGCGGATTTCTGTGCTTGATTATGTAAAATTTAAGAGTGCGAAACAGCACTCTTCAATGCATACAAATATATAAGATATCCAATGTAGAATATTATAAGGAATATTCTGATGAAACAAATGTCTACGAAACCTTTTTTTTTAATCTTAATCCATACAAAATTAAAAGATAAATCTTATACAAGTAAAACGTAATGTCTATGGATTAAAATATAAAACAGTCTAATTATAACGTAAGATTTGTTTCCTATTTCAACTTGTATTAAGGGTCATTGAGATCGCCAAAACATGCTCTGCTCTATCACAAAGAATAGAGAAGCAAGACAAATGATTTAAATAAAATCTCGTTGAAATCTCGCAATTGGAAAATTCTTCACCTATGGAAAAGTTATTACCTTATTCTGTACATACTTATGTCCCTCGAGAATTTGATGGATACAAATCTAATGCTACAAGCAATTTTGTATTAAAAGGATTGGTAAAGAATTACTTGAAATGGTCATTTAACTGAATGATCAGAAATGGAAAGAATGGGAGATGTTGGGGCAAGTTTCACAGGATATCGGTTAATTGCAATTTTCGACTAATTGGAATTGTGATTTCGTCACGATCCTTAAAGGGACCTTGAAGTGGAACCTTATAAGGAGGAACCTGAAGAGACTTTCTAACTCTGGAGAAAAATATAGGCAGTATTGGAAATGTTTCTTTCGAGGAATGGGAAATATGGCATCCGACTGATAAGAGGGAAAAAACACTCGATAAGGGTGAATTTTTCTTTATCAAAGTGCAGCGATTAACGTGACACAACGATTGTTTAATAGAGAAATTTTATTTAGAGTCCGATTTAAACGAAGCATCTTAACCAATTGCGTAATACGATTGCGCAGGTTGCAGAACTCGCTAGGATGTTTCATTTTCACAATTAATCAAATAAAACGGGCAGTATGTAAAGTGTTCACAAATAATAGTAAGTCTACACACAAGGCACAATAATATCACATGTACTTACAAAACTCGTTTCGGGAGTAACGTTACGCTACATTCTTGAGAGTATTGACATCTTGGATCACCTTAAGTTAACTTATTTACGAAATCGAACGCAGCGATTTTCATACATCGATTTGATGGAAAACAGAAAGAAAAAAAAGAAAACGATACAGTGTGGTAATTTTTTAATTTATAAAAAAAATACTATTATACTTCTGCGCGTGTTATATACTAGTAGCAATCAAAGCGATACGTCGCATTTATATAAACATAAGTAATGCCAGGTTAACTCCGATTAATTAATAGCCGATATAAGAAAATGTCACGGACATATAAAGTCTTCCCTCTTTTCTTTGACACTCCGCATCGATGGCAATTCCTATACGTAACACACATCAACGAAGATAACATAATCTCTTACACCAGTATGAACTGAGAGTTTAACAACTTTCATTACATAAATACGTCATCTCTATTTCGTTCGATTAATCTCGAGTTTATGAATCTGTTTTATCAATGCAGCCAGCAAACATGGCCATAATGGTAATCCTACTAGGACAGAGACTTTGGTGAATTCGCCGTCAGTTATCGTTTAAATATCATTCGGTGCTAACTTACGTGCACGCGAAGTACATTTAATCGTAGCGCGTATGTACAAAATATATCCTATCTATGAAACGTTCTGGCACCAACGCGTTGCAAACGCAATTTCTACCTTAACTACCGAGATAAGGCAGTCATCTTCAGCCTTTGGTACCCGCTGCGCGCGTCAAGTTCGCCCTCCTCGCTTTGGCAAATCTCAGTATCTCTGGATTTTCGTAGATCATTTTCGCTAATGCCTCTGTCCCGGCGAAAGTGTCGGCCTTGGTGCCCATGCACATGGACCACTGTTTCTCTGGGAGATCTTTACTGCACTCGACGTCGTGATAAACGTGAATCAGATCCCTGTCAGCCGCTCTGAAGACCTTCACATTCGATTTCACCACCTTCTCGTAGAAGTCCACGTCTTCTTTACCCCAGCCTTGGATGGACAGATCGAAACCACCCACGGTTTTGTACTCCTGTTTGTACAGGGAGACGATACCGAATCCAAATTGCCTCCAATACCCCGACGTTTCGTCTACGACGAACATGCTCCCTCCACTGTTGTCCCCATAAACGGATATCTTTGGATTGTACCGACTAAACACCACCGGGAAATATATCTGTCTACCTAGAAGAGTATTGGCTCGAATTCTGTGGAGCGCCGATTCGGTAAACGCGATGTCGACGTCGACGAAGAACATCAAATCGTTGTCTTTCAATCTCGACGCACCGAGATTCAGAGCCTTGGCTCGAGAGAACGTACCGGAGACAGGGACGACGTCGATATTTGCGCTACGGTACTTGTGTTTCAGTCGTTCTATCGATTCTGTCGTTCGGTCGAACGAATCTTCGGTTTTGTGACGATAGAGAACGACCGAGAGCGTGGTCCTCTCCCCGCTCGTCAGACAGATCTCCTCGTAGTTTCGTAGGAACCTCTGGAAAACGTCGTACTTCCCGGACAAAGGTAGAACAAAGTGAATAATCTTGCTAGTAACCGGGTCCTCTTGCTCGAAGTTGAAGTTCAGGTTCAAAAATCCACCGCGGAATATACTCTGCAAGGACTTGTCGTTTCGTTGGTCTTTTCGTGCCTCGTCCACCTCCTCCCCGTCCACGGTTTCTCGTATTTCCAGCCCTGCAAGCGAAAAATTACACGCGTTTTTTCCCCGCAATGTCTTTTCCTATTCGTCAAGTGTTTCTGAAAGAACGACGGGGATGTAAAAAAAAAAAAAACGTGTACCTGTGAAGTGTTGGTGAAGGTACACGTGCCTTCTGACGGGCAACGTAACCTTTCGGCCCCTGTACTTCCGGTAGACCAAAAGAAGATCCAGTATAGTGTCTGCGCCGTATGAATCCACTCGCCTGTATCCGTACAGAGTCGACCTTTCCTCGACGATCCGGCCACGCTGCCGTGAACAGGCGTTTATAGAGGTCATCACTTCTCTCGTGATGTCCTCCAGACCTTCCTTTACGTCGCTGTGAATTCTTCTCCTAGGATTTGAGTCGCCCAGGCTGTACTCAGACCTCGACAAATAGTCCCAGGGTATCACTTCGTCGCTGGTTGCCGGCTTGAACGAACGAAGTCCTGCCGAAACGCCTGGTTGAAAGGAAACATTTTGTCAGTACCTCGACGAAGATTTATATCCTCGAACTATTCAAAAGTTTTTTCACATTTTCTGGAGAAGCTAGATACCCTAAATAAAAGATTATATTTAATATTAACTTGGTCTTTCTTCCCGGATAAAGAGAGTACAATTTGATTGTAAAATTGTAAAATATTTGAGCTTTAACTTAAGGTTTATATAAAAGTCCAGTCGCAGTCACTGAAAAGTTGAATTAAAAAATTTCCCAAATCCTTGAAACTGGACGTTGGTATTTTAAACTTCTACTACTTTTAAAATTACCTATCACGTCAACAAAATTGCTTTATGTTGTTCATCACAGATTGAAAAGTTCATAGAAGCATGTCGTGCAAGATCTGTTAATTATGTACGATGTACGATGATAAAATACGTTCAATTAGCGTATTTAAAATTGTAAAATCGTGACAGGAGCGGCGAGATCAAACCGAAGCATTCGATGCTGCTGCTCGCGTCGATTAGACGCGAGCACGTCAGTAAGCGCAGGAAAATGGAAATGAGTGGAATCATGATCGAAGTCCTGATCGTTCCATCCGATGGGCTCAAACGAATCGTGTCGCGGCTGGTTTCTGCGACGCCACCGACTGTCCGGCGATCAATTCGCACGGGCTAATCGGCCTAAATGGTTCTATTAATAACGCACATCCAGGGAAACGCGATTGTTCTTGAACTCGACGATTCGTGCCTCGTGAAATATTCCCGAGGATATGAAACCTTTCCGCGACGTTCACGTCAGAGAATCTATCTCAACGACGTCGTTTAACCACCCACGTATCTTCGTGGAAATTTCACGACCTCGGGATACTCGCGAAGCTCAGTGGAAGCTAGTGTTTGTCCGAGTTTTACGTTTTAATCGGTAGTTGATTAAACAAACTCTTGCCTTCCGTGAATTCACACAGTCTATGTGTATAGTATGATTGTGGGCTGTTATATCGTGATGAAAGAGGCACAGCTCGGAAAAAACCTGATAACGTTCTTTCAACGATTCTTCCACGCGAATTATTCGTGCTGAAAATGGATCATACAAATTTTTACCTAATATTTCCGTGTCGCCGGGATGGTCTTTGGAGTGTGGGCCGACAGGGAACAACGGCACGCCGTCAGCAATCTCGAGATTCTTGAAATTCTCCACGCTGAGGCCCAACTGTTTCGCCATGGCGTGAATGTCCCTGTGAAGATTCAGCCTCTCTTGCTGCAGCTCTTGAATCTGAAGGCCCTGGAAACGGAAACAGAAAGGAGCTTTCGCAACTGGCAGAGGAAACGATTAACATTAACGCGTGTAACATTACGCGAGTCCGACACCAACCCTCATGTAATTGTGTAACCTGTACATGTGCGGCGGACTTTTAACAGGATGCAAAGTAATAGCACGGTGAACTTCTTTTTTCTTCAAGTTTCCGGTGAACGCCTGTGCCCCGCTACTGTTATGATATAGAATAGACTGCATCTGTAACAACGAAAGCATCCAGTATCGTCAGCTGCAATTGAGATTAAAGGGACAGAAATAGATGGCAATCGTCGTTATGGTTGTTACTTCGGAGGATCGTCCGATTATTTGGTATCAACGATCACGTTGGACTGCGGATTTCCATGCGGGTTCATCTTCCTGCGAACGTGATTCAAAAAATGGGACAATTTCAAAGTCTTTCTCACTATAAATATTTTGAATTTATTTGTACGTCTCTGTTTGTTCTACAAAATCTCTCATAAACGCGTGAAAATTCGCAGTTCAATCGTTTGATTCGTTGTTCCTGTCTCTAAGGTCTTACTTTTCTGTAAATTTTC